TGCTGTTACTTTCTCAATAATGGGGTCTGTTAAATAGTGCGAATTTAAAGTTGTAATTTGTTTTTAAACCAAGTTGGACTATTACTCGGAAAAAAGCAAGAAAGAAAACAGAACTTCTTCTTTCCCAATCCTGTAGAATTTCTGGTTGTGAAGAATATTGGGAAATTAGGTTCTCTTTTGAAGACTCTATTTGGGATTGATAGCTTTGGGATTTTTCTACTTGGTGTTTGTGCTTGCTGCGAATTACATGTGGTAAATGCTCGCAAGTCTTGATTCAGATGCACGAAGTTTTGAACTCTGTATTAGGGTAGAGATGAATTGGTGTAATTGGGTTCAGCTGCTGCTTTTATAGTTATGCAATTTCCAAACTTTTTCCAATCATCTCAATTATTAAATTTTAGTTAAGAGTTGTTGAGATCACCACTATACTGTACTAGGCATGTCTAAAGTAGTCATTACATGGATTTTTTCTCTGTAATATGGAAGTGGTTCATAGACCTTTTTCTCCGAAAACTTCTCCTCCTTGTAGTTGCCGGACTACACGCTTAAAAATATTTATTTTATAGTTCTTTTGATTTTCTTTTATTGGCTGTCTTTTCATCTATAGCATATTTAATTTACAAAATACTTTTATAATAGATTTTTGTTTATTATGCAGGGTTTGGGACCTTATTCCACAAGTATAAAAAAAGTAGAGAAGGAAATAAAAGATATGGCAAAGAAAGTCAACGATTTATGTGGTATGTTTTCCATTGCCATTCTGTATCTCACTAATACAGACAGTAATATGTGAAACATTGTATCCGTTAATAGAATATATTGATACAGATTGTGTTTACTGATTGAAATTCTGTTTTACTGCATCTGCTTCTGTTTTTGGGCCAAAGTTGATGCACTTAATCTTTGCTGGGCAGCCATTGTTACTGATCTATGATCAAATCGTGTTAAACAAACTCAGATTCACTTGTAAATGATAATTCCCCATTTAGTCCTTTATTTTAGGTAGATGTGTTCCTGATAGCTTTAGTTTATGGCCATCAGTCATCAAACAGAATACATGTCCAAAGGAGTTTATGATTGGTATTTTGTAGGTATCAAGGAGTCAGACACTGGTTTGGCTGCACCAAGCCAGTGGGATCTTGTTTCTGATAAACAAATGATGCAGGAGGAGCAGCCTCTTCAGGTCAATTTTTTTTTAGATTTTGTTTAAAGTGTTTTTAATATTTGTGGGTGTTGGTATTGATGACTGTTTATTTAACAGGTAGCAAGGTGCACGAAGATTATAAATCCAAACTCCGAAGATGCCAAATATGTTATCAATGTGAAGCAGATTGCGAAGGTACCTATATTTTTTTAGCAATTATTCCATTGTTTCTCACCACACCTATCATATTGTTCTTTGTTTGAGGATGTTAGAAGTCACTTATTGTTACGAAGTTATCACTTGCGGAACAATTATATTTTATGCTGTGTAAAATGCCAATGGATTAGCAAAGCTGTTGATTCTTTTCTCTATGTAGTTGGGACTAATAATCCTGTTTTTCTTTTTTTAATGACAGTTTGTTGTTGGGCTGGGTGACAAAGTTTCGCCCACTGACATAGAGGAAGGGATGCGCGTTGGGTATGTTACCTATCTGTAACTTTTGATTCCAAAACATTCTCTGTTGGGAGAGAAAGGGGCATTTTAGTGCTATGCTGTCTGCTAGTTGTAATTGACCTTCATTCCATCATTGCAGGGTTGATAGAAACAAATATCAGATTCAGATTCCTTTGCCTCCAAAAATTGATCCAAGTGTTACCATGATGACTGTTGAAGAGAAGCCTGATGTGACATATAATGATGTTGGTGGTTGTAAGGAGCAGATTGAAAAGATGCGAGAAGTAAGTGATTGAAAATTTCCCTGATTTTCCATTGCAGATATAATTGAGGTCATAAGTCATGTGGCACTAAATCTTTTAATTTATTCCTGCTAGGTTGTTGAACTTCCCATGCTCCACCCAGAGAAATTTGTTAAGCTAGGAATTGATCCTCCAAAGGGTGTTCTTTGTTATGGTCCACCAGGGACTGGTAAAACACTTTTAGCTAGGGCTGTGGCTAATAGGACGGATGCTTGTTTTATAAGGGTTATTGGAAGTGAGTTGGTTCAGAAATATGTTGGTGAAGGTGCTCGGATGGTTCGTGAACTATTTCAGGTGAATGCCTAAGATGCATCTTCTGGTCTTTTTTTGTTACTGTTTCCATTGCATGATGTTATCTGACTAAAATTGTTCTCTCTTTTAGATGGCCCGTTCAAAGAAGGCATGCATTGTGTTTTTTGATGAAGTTGATGCAATTGGAGGTGCACGGTTTGATGATGGTGTTGGTGGTGATAATGAGGTTCAGCGCACAATGCTTGAAATTGTGAATCAGCTTGATGGGTTTGATGCTCGTGGAAACATCAAAGTCTTGATGGCAACTAACAGGTTTTCTGATTTGGCTTTTCTATGGTTTCTTACTTTTATCTCATGCTCTCAGTTTTACTATCGATGTTAAGACAAGAATGTGTCTCTAAGTATACACGGTGCCATTATGGCTGTAATTAAAATGCAGTCAAAATGTTGTAGTTGACACCATTTATGACATACACTAAGGTGCTAAAATTTGTTTACTTTGTGGTGTGATGCTTTGTATAACAAATTATAGCTTTGGAATTCTATGCAAAACATTCTTCTCACCCCTTATTTGCTACTTTGTCATCTTACCATGGGTTGCACTGGCTGTTCTTTTCACCTCTCAAAACAACTAACATGAGGGCATATTTTGAACCAGTAGGAAATGGCTTTTGTGGATTTGTCCTCCCCGTGATATTTGTGGTTAATTAAATTCTAAAAAGTATGTAGGAGTTGAAGCTGACTAAGTTGTACCGATTCTGTTTTTGAGTAATTCTTCTTTGACTTAAAAGGGTCCATTTGATTTGCTAAAACATAAGGGACAACACATCAAAATAAAAAAATTGTACTTTGTTTGATTTTTAAAATAATTTAAGTACTAGACAGAAAAGGAACTCGAGGAACAACACAAAACTCTAAAATTTTGTTACCTACTAAACTGGGTTACAAAATTTTATCTACAAGACAAGAGATAAAGAACAGTAACCCCTACTCTTTCATTTTCCAAGCTGTATTGCATGGGGAAGAAGTGCACAACATAAGGGGTATTTCAATAAATTTTGCATTATTATATGTTGTATTTATGCATATTAAACTGCAAATATAACAAAAATTTTAGTCTTATGTATTGGTCATGAAACAACTGACAACACAAAAAATTATCCTGTGACTCAACCACTTATGTTGTACCATTCTGTTTATGCTGTTGTGTAATGTGCATCAAATGCATCCATTTATTTTTAACGCCATGTTTATGATATTGTTGGACATCTTTGATGTTGGGCTGACTGGATGAATTCTGTTCCCTTTTGTTCACAATTTTTAGGCCTGACACTCTAGATCCAGCACTACTACGGCCTGGACGATTGGACCGAAAAGTTGAATTTGGCCTTCCTGATTTAGAGAGTAGGACGCAAATTTTCAAGATACACACAAGAACCATGAACTGTGAAAGGGATATCCGCTTTGAACTTTTAGCTCGGCTTTGCCCGAATTCCACTGGTAAGAACACCTTCAAAACTTGGTATTTTGCACCCTTTTTTTTTTCTGGTATAATGGCATTTTGTACTTTATTCTATACTTTTTGACCATCAAATTTTTAGTTTTTTTAGTATTTGGGTAGAATGCTTCGTTACTTAAACTTGTTCTTTTTGAAGGGATTTCTGTTACTTCCTTTCCTCCTTTTGTCCTACTATTAAAACTGTGTTTCAGGCTTGGGTACTTTTTAGAGATTGATTTTTTGACCAAGATATTTTTGGTTCTCTGCAGGAGCTGATATAAGGAGTGTTTGCACTGAAGCTGGTATGTATGCTATTCGAGCTCGAAGGAAGACTGTAACAGAGAAAGACTTCCTTGATGCAGTTAATAAAGTCATCAAAGGATACCAGAAGTTCAGTGCAACTCCCAAGTATATGGTCTACAACTGAGTTATTCTTTCCTTTACTTTTCCTGAAACTATATTGGCACTTGCAATATTTTCTCCACTGAAAAATTATTGAAGGGCCTAAGTTTATTTGTTTGTTTTTGAACGTTGACTATGTACCAAACGTTTTCATAATGTTATAGCCAAATCGTTTCGAGTGTCGTTGCTTTTACAAACCTTAAGGGTAATGATTGTCAACTTACCACGAGGTGTGAATAATCAGACATGTTTCTGAAGTTTTATGTTGGGTTGAGTTGATATTACTAGCCTACAAATAAATAAAGAATGAATAACATTACTCGTCCAACGTTACAAGATATAGCAATCGGTTCAATACATAGATGTGAAGTACGAGAGTACCGTTTTTGCAAATTTTTGGAGTGTTGCTTAAACCATCTGAATGTAAGATGAAACGAAACTTGTGAGATCATCTAACACGACCTTGTCCAGACACCAGATGATTTAAACAATCAAAAAAATGAAATTGAATGATGAGGGTAAGTTTCTTTTCCTTTGTTCTACGGTCCTCTCTTGTCATGTCACCAATCGTTTCAAGTGTTGAACAAACGATTGAATTATAAGCAATAAAAAGAATTTCATAAGAAAAAGGAGCGAAACGAAAGTAAGTGTTTTATGATCTGCAATATCACGATTTCAGTTAAGTATCTTCTGATTCTGTTACTATGTATGGCTGTAAACTTATTCATATTTCCATGTCATATATAACCTTTTGCTATGCAATGTACGAAAAATAAAGTAATGATGCCAAAGGCTGGTTAACATTGGTCATGCCAGTATCTATAAAACAGGTAGTTATTTCACCATTACCGTCATCGCACAAAAAAGCTGATTGGAACAAGTTTAGAAACTTGCCTTGCACAAACTAGGAAAAGCCTTCAAATATGGCAACCATATATCTAGACGGAGCTTCAACTTTGCAAGCAGTTAAGTAATTGAATTTATATTACAAACAAAAGCACTAGCTCAAACAAACATACATCGCCCATTGTCTAACTTGGTTAATGAAAAATGCAATCGTTCTAACAAAGACGTATTCAATATTGATTGAGGGGTTAAAAAGAAGTAACGAAAAAAATATAATTACATTTTCTTGGGAGAGTCATTCTAGTGAGTAATAGAGAAATTTAGATGTCTCGTATAGACGGGTCATCACTCCCTCGTTGGGATCCTCCTCCAAGATCATTTCCACTTCCAAATGTTCGCTTGCTCATGTTAGCTCGCTGCACTAATCGTACAAGTGCTTGAACCACCTCTGACATTGGTGGTCGGAACTCAGGCTCCGGCTGCCCCAAAATTCAAAATTCAAATTCAAAAATTAAAATGCATTAACACATGCAAATATTATGGTTAAGGACACCGATTGGGGTGGGCTATACTATATATATATGAGAGAGATAACTTTCCCTTGTTGAAAAACCTAAACAAATAATTTATTGATTTTCTTATTCTCAAAATCAATAAAATTTGTGTGACTGACAATACCTGAACGCAGAGAGCAATAACATCGGCAAAACGAGAAAGAGATTTAACAGGATATAACCCTTTCAGTGCAGGATCAACCATTTTAGCCAATGCATCAATATCATGGAGTTGAGGTGTTGCCCATCGAACCAAAGATTGCTCGGATCTTGGCCTTGAGCTGTTAGAGAATGTTTCAACAATCAGGACCAAAAAAGAGAGAGAGAGTATTAAATTAATGCAATGCATAATTTAAAATTCACCTATCAAATGGTTTCCGTCCACTGAGAAGCTCCAACATGACAACTCCAAAGCTGTAGACATCACTTTTCAGAGTATACTGACCAGACAAGGCAACTTCAGGTGCATCATATCCAGATCCAACATTATGGTTCAATATCTGAACATCACACACAAAGTTCAAACTTCAACAATTTTACAAATTTTAATGTCACTGGGTAAAAGGAAAATTTGAATTCTTTAAGAGCATGATCAATATTCTTAAAATGAAAAACAATTACAAAATTCATCCAATGGAATTTGCCGTACAAAATGCACATCACTGTCCATAGTGGGTTTGAACCCTTGGGCAGAGAGTTTACCTTGTAAGATTTAGAAAGTTGGCCCAACGCAATCAAATCCAATTATAAAAACATTAATTCACAACATAAAGTTCCAAAAACTTGTAAAATCACCTGGTCTGCATTTGGAATATTGCTTGCCAATCCACTGTCTGAAAGATGAGGGTTAAGCTCTGCATCAAGTAATATGTTGGCTGACTTAATATTCTTATGAACAACTGACGGCGAACAAACTTCATGTAGGTACCTAGAAAAAAAATGAGGATATAGTCAGGTCATTGAGTCTCGAGCCAAACATTCAGTTCAATGATAGATGTCCAACAATATATGTTGCCACATATTATAAATCAGTTAAAGACTTCTATTGCAAGTGAAATACCTTAATTACTTCAGTAAAGTGGCACTTTCCAATTTACTGATAGTGTATTCACTTCAAGGAGGTAGTGGATCAAATTTAAACACAAAATTCATATTTTATAGTCCCAAACTATTTCTTCTAGTTTTTACATTTCCAAATTCGAACATTAGATATAGTAATAATCCATACATTTTTTATCAGGAAAACAACAAGCAAGTTACAAAGAGAGATAAATCAGTCAAGCCATACAGGCCAGCATGGAAGCTAAGCAGAATATATACCATGGGAAAAAAAGGGAAAAGAAGGAGATGGACAGAATAAATCAATGGTAAAACTAGGTTCATAAGATTAAAATAATTTATCAAGCAATGATGCAAAAATTCCTCACAAACGCAATATTAGAATCTTCTAATCCCATTAGGCCACAACTAACTTACTCTAAAGAACGTGCAGTCCCCAAAGCAATCTTGACACGGGAATTCCATATCAATGGTTTACTATATTCATCTGATAGGTGAAGGAAGTCATGTAGTGATCCACTTTTATGAAACTCATATACCAAGAGATGTTGTCCATACTCTGAACAATAACCTACAAGCTCTGTCACATTTGGATGATGTAAATGGGAGATGTTTGAAACTATTTCTGTAAAATCTTCCGACAAATCATTGGGAATGACAGATGAATCTATCTTCTTCACTGCCAGAACCTAAAGCATTTTTATAAATAAGAAACAAAGTCAAAACCATTAATAACTTTTAAGCACATACATAGACTCAAGGCTTGGTCCACTTGAGAAAAACTCATGGTATTTAGTGGGATATTAGCTATACCTGCAGTATCTATATCCACATGGATTTTCAGTTTTTGTTTTTTTGGTTAGGAGAGGGGATGTTGGAGATGAAGAGACAGTAAACCTAACACAACCTTATGTGATATCATCAATATGATACATCCATGTTTCTGTGTATGAATACTACTAAGATTTGATCCAGTTCCAGGGAATTTTACATAGTAAAATGACACTATTCTGGAGATACTAATATCTGGCACCAGAATCAGACAGAGTGGACAGCTAAGAAATACCTTTCCATCATCAAATTGAGCACGGTACACACGCCCAAAAGACCCCTCACCAACAAGGTGATCCACACTGAAGCTGCCAGTGGCAATCTGCAGATCAGCTATAGAATATGATTTCACATTTGCAGGAGCTGTTACAGTCTTCTTGACAAGAGTGGGCTTCTTTGAGAATTCATTGTCATCAAATGATTTATGACGATCAATAGGTGGGGGTTTAAGATTTATTGTGGCAGAAGTATCAAACGTCTTCAAGTCAATTACAGAGGAAGTTTGCACAGACTTCACTTCTGCATTATTATGATACACATTAATATGTTAATTTGAATAACAAAGTCGAAAAGCTGAATAACTTAACTGCTAATGTTGAACTGCAAGCATTAATTTGGTTGGTAAGTAACGAGAAAAATACAGACCAGTTATTTGTAACAATGACAAATTCTACATAGTAAAGTTTGGCTTGACTAATTAGAGCAAAGATATTACAATAGACTTCTCTAGTCTAGTAGCCAAATAGATGTCTGCCATGTTGTCAAGCAAGCACCCCTTCCAGGAAAGTAGTGTTGAAGTAATTGCTACTATCTTGTCTAACAGAACAAATTAGGATGTGAAAATATAGATATATGAATTGGTCTGAAAATTACAGATAACTCAGAACAAGTACAAGAAAGAAAATAACCAGAAAAGCATAATCATGGGGTCCCAAAAACCAGGGCACACCCAAACCCACAACCACAAATGCACTCAATCCTTACCTAACCTCTCACCCCACGCCCCAAAAAAAAACAATCACCTTTATCACACACTCTGGTGCAGATCCCCACTCATTCCCTAACCCCTCCTGGACTGCCAACTGACTAACTGCCTCCCTTTTTTTCTTCTTTAGTATACGAGTGGCCCACCCTCATTACTAGGATTCGAATTCAAGCCATGCTTCCTCCTCTTATACACTCCGGCTAAGGGTGTATGATCCACCAAAATGATAGATGAATTGCAAAATTCATTTATGAAATGCGGAATCAAGTATGAGAACAACCAATTGAGTAGGAGGTTTCTGCAAATATAACTAACCTATGAAGTACAAAATTAATACAAGAATAATAAATGCTATGAACATAATAAATATAAGCAATATAATATAAGGATGACCTCATCATGAAAAGAAAAAAAAAATGATCTTTAATTAAATAGTATGCGATGCAGACCATGCACTTCATTTGAAGGAAGAGGGGGAAAGGACTGATTTTCCAGCTTTTCTGGATCTGAAGATGACTTCTTGGATTTTCTCTTCACCAGAAAGAATGCTACTACTGCCCCAACAACAATGACGGAGATCAAAATTCCAGCTATGCCACCACCTCCTATACCAGATTTTTTGCCATCACCAACTGTGCCACTGCCAGCATCTGAGGGGGTAGCACTTCCACCACCAGATTTGTGGTGTTGCTTGCTTTTAGGTGCTGGAGGTGTCCCAGGAGGAAGTGGGGGTGCAGGTCCTGAGCTCCATGCATTACCACCGGTCCTGTCATTAAATTTTTCTCTTTTTTTTAAGTTCTCCAGAAATTTATGATGAAAATCAGATTTCTAGTTACCAAATTGCTCATAATGGCAATGCTTACTGTAGGTTTATCTTTTTCAATTGTTCTGGTATCCAGCCTGTAAAATTATTGTTTTCCACATTCCTGAGAAGAATTTATGAAAATCAATACAATTAGGTTTTAAGTTCTTCGCTATGGAAATATAAGATAGGATATTCCAGCTATGTTATATGATACAACAGAGACGCACAGATTATCCAGAGGCAGATTAGCAAGGACATCGATAGTGCCTGTAAACTGGTTGTTTTGTAGATACCTGCACATATGTAAACAAGTAAACTTAGAATACAATCAATAACAAGTAAAGTATTAATAGAAAACATCAACAGTTCGGATATTTACATAGTGGTTATTCCTGAAAGTGAGCTCAAAGTCTGAGGGAGGTCACCAGTCAGAAAATTGAAAGAGAGATCCCTACAATTTTATTTATTTTTTTAAAAAAAGCCACATGGTCCTGAATTGTTAGCAAAACCCAAAAAAGCCTCAGTTGTGAAGAGTATGTAAATTATGAAATTACCAAAACAATATGACAGAGAGAGTGCAATAGCCTATGTATATGGACCATTTTTCACATGCAGAACATCTTAACATGAAACCTAAAGCAATATTGTAAAAATACTACACTGCGCATACAAAATGGTAATTAATCCAGAATAACATCATCAAATCATACAGAAGATGAAAAGGATCAATATTTTATAGTAAAGGTCACAATAACTTGACAGCCTACTAGACTACTTTTTTACCCAGTTGAAGGGTAGGAGGAAATCTCACAATATAGAGAGTGTAGAAAGATTTTGAAAGTCGACACCCAGTCCTTGCTGGAGCTGATTGTGACCAAGATTCCTACATTATAAAAAACAATTAAAAGAAAATTACTCAAATTGCTTGTGCAAGTGGTTCATACCGTACGACTATGATAAATGTACAAGAAGATAATTACATACAGGTCTGTAAGAGAGGTCAAATTAGAAATAGAGTAGGGGACTGTTCCAGTGAAGTTATTACTAGCAAGATTTCTGCATACAAAGAATTAAGAATGTTAAAAATCATAATATCATAAGTAAAATAAACTGCAGAGTAACAACCATATGTGTGTGAGAGTGTGTGTGTAGAGAGAGAGAGAGAAACATACAAAAGCTGCACATTAGGAGGAAGTTGGTATGGTATGGCTCCTACAAGATTGTTGTCACTCATGTCTCTACAAAAATTTACAAGGTCACAACAATAGTAACAATGTATAGAAAACTGGATATCTGATGAATGAGACTAATAATCTCACAGTTTGGTCACAGATGTCAAGGCTTGTAATCCGTAAGCCAATGTTCCAGTTAGTCCAAGATTAGATAACTCACTGATAAGTAACAAGACAATATTCATCAGAAATTAGCACTAAAAGTAATCATGATGGAGTGATATAAAATGAAGAGGAGAGTGACGCTATACATCTCTGTAACACGGTTGCCTGAGCAAGTAATGCCTTTCCAAGATTGTCCACACGGATCATCACCATTAGCAGGCCAACCTAGCTGAGATGGTGAGTTCATACTTTGAAACATAGCCCTTACAGCAGCAGCTGCATCAAACACTCCGTAAAAAGATAGTTAGCAAACCCAAGACATGCATAATGGAAATTTATTTTTCTAACAGGTTAAGGCCTGTCTGCACCATCATCCATTTTAGATATTTCAGGATAGATATTACTGTACAGAAAAAATGAACCCATTATGATAGTATCCCTAAATATATTATTTCTAAGCAGAACTGAACAAATTGATGCTTAGTCTTGAATAAGAATTCAAAAAATGTTCACTGACATTGATAATTTCATTATTGCTCATTCATGTTATTGACTATAACAGCTTCACATTTATAAACATCAAGGGGTCAAGAGAAAAGAAAAAAACCCAACTTTCACCAAGGATTCTCAAAGGGTACATTATAATGTCATGAATGGAAGTAGTATGGATAGGAGATTATGATTTGTTTTTGTATGCATAGAAGCTCGTAAAAAATAACATTGGTGACTAATAGGGAACATGAAGAAAAGCCATTCACAATCATATCACCTAGCCAGCACCAAAAAGAGTAAAATTTCAACGATTTTAAAGCACCACATACTTAAATTCATATAAGTTCATCTTCGGGGATGAGACTGGGAAATTTAATATCAGATGTTCCCCAAGCAAACATCTTATGATTTCGAAGTGTCATGAAGGCAGAGCAGGTTGCTGGTTGAGGATTTAAAGATATTGATAACACAACAAGAATAAGGATGTGTACAGGATTAAAGTAAATGCAGGATTAAAGATGTCATCAACAATTGAATAATGCGCGGTAAAGTAAAATCAGAAAAAAAGAAGATTTTATGAGAGAACTCTAGTATAAGAAGATTATAATATTTTAGCATTTAGCAGAAGATATACCATGAAAATGATGAAAGGGAAGGTAACTAATGCCCAAATAGTACGAACCTACAACTAAGTACACAGAACATATAGCTCAAACTGGAAAGAAAAAAAAAAATCATTTATTTGTTGAGACCATTGGCATGCAAAGCAATAGGGCACCTCACTGAGAAAGCCAGCAATCGAGCCACTAAATAGATCAGAAAGAAAACATCTCATTGTTTCAGAATGGAAAAGAAAAAAAGTTGGGAGGTCTATAATGTATCAAATTAAACCATACTGGAAACAAAAAGCCAGAACTGTTCAGAGCAGATGAATGGAAAACAAACAAAACCAAGTGAAGTGAAGTGGGGAAGAGAGCAAGTTAACAAGTGTGCTTTTTGAGTAAGACTAGCACAATGCAAAAATGAACAAAGACAGAGACTTGTGAAAAGGAGAGTGAAGTCAAAGAAGACACCAACCATCATTTGGATCTGTGGCAGTGACACCATCGGGCATCAAACGAAGAATGCAGGTGCTGATGAACAGCAGCAGTAGCAGCCTTCGATACTCAACCATCTCACAAAAGTTCTTCCAACCCAGAAAGCTAAAAGGGATTTGGAGTCAGCCCTTTATGCCAAGTTCTGATTTTTCTAAAGATTTTGTGGGTTTATGCAGCTCCCATGGCCAAGTAAAGCTGGCCAGCACGAAATGCCAGAAGAATCCAAAGCCACAGAAATTTCATTTACTTTATCATAGTCACAGACTCACTCACAGTCTCTCTCTCTCTCTCTCTCTCTCTCTATATATATATATATATATATATATATATATATATATTTAGCAAATTTATACTTTAATAATACGTAATTATGAATGATAATAATTTTGCTTTTCGAGTTCTCTTGAATTTTCAAAGAAAGGAAAAAATTGTAAAGCATGGTTGTTTGAGTTGAGGGGGGTGTGGTGTGCCCACCATATGTATCATTGTATGGTATCTGTTTTGGATTTTTGCTTTCTTAATTGAATAAGCCAATTTAAGTAGCTTTCATAAATGAATGACACGCTTTTAATTTTTTCGTATATAATATTGCTTCTTATTTATTTATTTTATTTGTATATATTGGTTAATAAGCGAGAACTGGTATATGTGGCTTTCATGCCAACGGATAGACGAAACCTAAAAGGAAGTCACAAAAAAATCAATTACTTCAACTGGCCGTCAAGAAAAAATAAAGTTAACCTACAAAGGAGAAGCCATACAAAACATTAACTGAATGATGGAATTAGTATTTTTTAATTATAGAAGAATAATGGAAAAAGACTTTTCAACTAATGTCACCTTTTTTAATGGCTTTTCTTGGAGTAATAATGAGGGGTCAATAATTTCAAAGTGTTGTTGGGCTTTAGATTCTGGGATGATAATAATGGAGAGAAGATGTACGTACGTATGCTATGCAATGAAATGGAGCCTACCTTTGCACTAGAAAATGTGGAATTCAGCATTGCAGGTAGTAATTAACTGGATACGGTCAAAAATATATATTCGGACGTTGGTTTCAGCCTTCACAAGTTACACTTTATTTCTTTTTAATCCTTTATTTATTTATTTATTTTTCTAAAATAAGATAACATAATTTTTTATAGAGTTCATGAGCGACATCATGGAACTCGGTAAGCAGCCCAGAGAAGAAGTAACAGCTGGTTATATAAGAATGACAAATTTCACTTCTGCTATTATATTTTTGTTGATACAAAATCCAAGGTCATTATTCCCCAACCCTTTATGCGTTATCATACCTGATCGAATTTTTTGTCGGTATATATATATATATATATATATATTGTGGTTTCAAATTTCCCTTAATGATAGGTGTATCTAATTTCATCATAATTTCTCGATGAAGTTGATGGTTTCCCTGACTTGCCATAAAAATATATGTTATTACTCAACTTCTTAAACATGAATCCTACTCCCTGAATTACAAAATCAAAATTCTTTGGGCAGCTATATACGAATGATGAGTTAATATATGATTTGGTAGTATATGACTTAATCAAATTTTTATATTATCTAGTGTTTAACGAGTCATTATATTACATTTGGTGATATCATGTATTAAGCATTAGATGTAAATTAACATTTTTTGCTCATATATTTCTTTACTTAATTTTCTTTGAACAGAAACGATTTTGAGAACAAGTACTTCACCCATTTTTGGATAAATTATTTAAACTCAGAAGTTAAATCAATTATGATTTTGAATTGATCATTACTCGCTGAAAGTTGATGACTCAACCAAAAATAAAAAATCCAAGACCAAATCAAGTTTCGTTTTTGTATTTACAGTTTTTCCTACCGTCAAACAGCTTTTGCACCTCTAAAAGGAAAACTTAGTAGCGTAGATAAAAAAATCCAACTCCAAATCAAATTTTCTTTATATTTTAACTATGGGATTAACATTTATCATGTTATATGACATAGAATTATCTTATAAATCTGATATTATTTTAAGATTATAGATTAAAATAAAAAATTTAATAAAATTCATAAAACAAAAAATATATAAATTTTTTAAAATATCATTTATTTTTAGTTCTAAACTTAAAAACTGCAGAAAATAACTTCTATCTTGCAGAAATAATTTTTCCTGCGGTTAAACAATGTCTTCATCTTAGAAAGAAGAACTTGTGATAAAGTAGATCAAAACCCAAGGTCCAAAAACACACTCTTCACCGACACCACCCTAACGAAATTACCATTTCTATAACAAATAAATAAATAAATAAAAATAAAAGATCAAACTACCCCTTGAAACTTCGGCTATCGTCTCCAACGATGTAAATCGGATAATGAAATTCAATTGACAGACCTAATGATAACTGCCATCGATCGGGTTTTGGAGATTGATTTCCAGTAGGCAGTGCTGGCCTCGCAAGAGTCTCCTTTGTTAGGGAGATTTTTTGGATTGTAAAAAGAAGCTTTTTGTAAAGCTTCAAGGATGGAGAATGGAAAATGTATGCTGATTTCAACTTATTCTTTAATTTTATTAAAAACAGTATTTTTTAATTTTAATACCTTAAGTTATTATATGAAGATAATAATAATAATAATTTTATATATTATATTTCTAATATAATTTCTTATATGAAAATTTTTTAGGTTTGAAAAATGGACAACATACAATGCCACTTATATGTATTGCGAAATTCTATAATTTAAATTATTTATTATTAGTATTGGGTAATAAAAATTAAACTTGTAACCAATATTATCAAAATGGAGTTTACACGTATAAATGAAATGAGATGATAGAAACGTAAATCATAGAAAAGACACGAAACGTAAAATTTTTACTACTTAAGGTCGGTCAAGATATAAAATTGTATATATATACATGTAAAAAAAAACACATAAATCATTACTCAAAATTCAATGAATAACATCATATTTAAAAAAATAAGTCACATAAAGAGCAAAATTGAGTTTCAAAAAAAAAAATGAGTTTAAGTAAATATTTAAAAACTTGCGTTTTTACCATGTTTTATATTTCTCCGTTGCATTTTTACCCATTTTTACTAAGAAGCATCTTTACTTGCATTTTACACTGCATTTTTTTTATCATTTCTACGTTTTTACACTAGTTTATGATACCATTTCAACCTAATAGTTTAAATTATTGAGATATTCAAGTGTGATGAGTATCACATTGATTGTTATGGGCTAAGTGAAGTATATATAAATAAAAGGATCCATGAATCCCAATGTCTTAAGGTTTTGAGTTGAGACATAGTATTGAACCTACTTGTGGTGGGCTAGCCTTGGCCTATTGGTGGTGGTCCTCCCGCCACATATTTTCCCTAGACTCGCCTGACAATGATATTAAAGTATGGTTGAGCTCAAGCTACCCTAGTGTTAGGCTAGAGATAGGTGGAATACTTCGGTCTTGGGTACTCGGTTAAGGGGGAGGAAATACATATAAGTAAGAGGATCATGAACCCAATGCCTTAAGGTTTTAGTTTGAGACATATTTTCTGACCCACTCGAATGGTCGTATAATCTTAGCTCATTAGTGATGGTTCCCCTCTATGCGCTTCCCCTCAATTCACATACATAAGTTACTAAATGAATGTCATATTAATTATTTGGGTTTTATAAGAGTTATGTTGTAAGAAAAGTGATTGTATAATGTTATAGAGATTCGTTTTGCGTGCCGTAGATTTTTTTTTTTGTTTCTAAAATTGTGGGCCCCACAAAATATTGTGTGTAAGAAACTTTTTTATGTCATGTTAAATGATAAATGCAAACCCCTAATTATTTTCTATATTTTCTATATTTATCTTTAAGACTTTTTACATGAGATTATATCTTAAATTTTAAATAAATATAATTTTACCGCTAAAACTTTATTAAGTTATTCATTATTTTGATATATAAAAATATTTAGTAAATAAACTCATATAATAAAATATTTATACTAAACAAATAACAAAATTATAAACATATTGTATTAACTTATTTTATTACCCACATATTTAATAAAGTTATATGAGATTAGTATTTGTATGAAATGATTTTATTTCTTACACAAACTTAAAAGTATGTAGGGCCTATGTAAAGTGAAAATAAAGAAAAAAAAACATAGATCCTCCACATTTTTATGTAAGTGTAGGAAATAAAATTATTTTATACCACATGAGAAACACTAATCCCAAGTTATATATGTATATGTTAAATTGTGAAATAATCGTCGGTCTAAGACAATTCCCATATTAGTAGAATTGTTCATTAACTTATCCAAATTGATTCAAACCGCCGTGACCGAACCGAAAAATCGATAACCAAAAATCGAAAAATCAGCATATTTTAATTGGATTGGATCGATTTTCTGTATAGTTGGTGAAAACTGATTAAATCCAAATCAATCTAATGTATTATGTATTTATTATTTTTGAAATATGGTGACTTTGAAATGTGTTGTTTTATAGACTTGAAATTTTGGATATTATTGATAACAAACTATATTATTTTAATTTTTTATGGTCTATTAATCTATTTTAACTCTTCATGAGTTTTAAAACTTGCTTTAGTTTGAAGACTTGAAATTTTCAGTTATTTGTAATTTTGAATGACTTCATTTGATATAGCTAGTAAGTTGTATGACTGAAATTTTAGATTTTTTTGAAAAATCAAAAATAAATCAAATTCAAACCAAATAAATTTAGATTGAATTGTATCGGATTTAAAAATAAATCAAACTGAAGAAATTAGATCAAAAGATTTTTATTTTAGAACTGATTCAATCTAGACTGCAAACACTCGTTCTTTCTAGGTATACATGATTTGATACGTGGCGTCGCTGATGATAAAATACAATTCCTTATAAAAAAATTCTTTCGACAAAGTAATCCAAATGACCTAGCAAGCACATAATTAAACAGTTTTTTGAAACGAATCTCTTGCTACCTAATCAAGCACATAGTTAAATGGTTTTTTAAACGAATCTTTTGCTTAAAAGCAAGTTTGTATGACATCTTATTCTTATGTTCTTGATTGGATTATGGACAAGGACAACAAAAGTTAAATAATTGTCTCGTGTACTCTTGATAGTCCACATGGCAGTTGGACCAGAATGGGTTTATTATCAAGAGATTATTAAATGATACTAGAGCGTTATGTCATATTATACTTATTCTATTTATATTATGATATTTCAATATTAATTAATAATAAAATATAGTATTTACTCATATATT